TAATACTTTTTTCTAAGGGAATTCGATCTCTTCAACCATTTATATATATATAATCCCTTAAAGTAGCCTTAACATTGTTAAATATTGATAAAAATTTGAAATGTCTATTTTACCCTTTATTATTCTTTAAATTTTTAAATACATGCCATGCCATTTCAAATCTGATAATAGTCCATACCCTTGTTAATTGACAATTCTAAGCATCGGTGTCCTATTTCAAAACCTATCATTCCGATGCCATGTGAATAACCAATTATAGTTTCACTCTTGTGGTCACTTCATTTTAAACAAATCTTCACCGTTGCCGTTGTATAATAGACAAGGAGATCCTTAAGGGCTTCATCACTTATAAAACAAATTTAATAAAAACTAAAAAGCTAACATAATTAAAATTGAAAAAACCTCATGGCAAAAGCTACAATTCCTATGTAAAGGAAATACGAACCTTTTTAATGGGTAGTAACAAATCGAGGCTTTTTTAGGTGGCGTTTGATAATATTTTTCAGACCTTTGAAGTATGAAAATGTTGCTTTTTAAATGTCAGAGGTGTTTGAAAGTATATCTGAATTTGGGTCTAAAAATTATTTTCAAATTTGAAATAATAAGACATAGGCCAGTTGCTGAATGCGTTTAGATGTGTTTCAGACCTAGCCAAAAGTCCAAAATACCCTTGAAAATGTTGCTTGTGTTTCTCCCTCTCACCACTCATCTTCTCCACTTGACGTAGCAGCGGCAAGTGACTCCTCCAACAAACTAGTGACAGCAAGTTCTGGCCCTCTCTCTCTCTCTCTCTCTCATTTCTTCTTCTCTTGCCACTACAACTCCTTCGACGAACTAGCGGCGACGAGTTTCGGCCTTCTCTCTCTCTCTCTCTCTCCTTTCTTCTTTTTTTCTCTCACCGCTACAACTCCTCTGACGAACTAGTGGCGGTGAGTTCCGACCCCCCCCTCTCTCTCTCTCTCCTTTCTTCTTCTTCTTCTCTTGTCGTTGCAACTCCTCCGACGAACTAGCGGCAGCGAGTTCCGGCCTTCTCTCTCTCTCTCTCTCTCCTTTCTTCTTCTTCTTCTCTTGTCGTTGCAACTCCTCCGACGAACTAGCGGCGGCGAGTTCCGGCCCTCTCTCTCTCTCTCTCTTCTTTCTTCTTCTTTTTCTCTTGCTGTTACAACCGAATAGTCTAATTTAAGGGTAAAATAATAAAATTAGTAAATTTCAGTGCTGAAGGTTTGATCCAACACAAACAACCTTTTTTATTTAAGCCTCTAAAAAGTCAAAAAACAACTGTCTCTTTTCAGATTTCAGACACTTTTAATATCTTTTTAACTTTTCAGATTTTAGATTTATCAAATACCACCTTAGTTGTCTTTCTCCATAAATAAATCATATGGAGATTTTATTTCAGCTTACCATTTAGGAAAATGTGTAATGACTGAAAATTTGTAAGAATAGAAAATCTGTTGAACGATGTAAACTACTCAAACATTGAGCCAATGTCATATGTTAAACTTGGAAGTAGACGTCTATGTGGAGTGAACAAATTAGATGCTATGAAGTTCATTTTACAGACGCTAGCAACATCTCATTGACGTCCAAAGGTATTTTCTCTGGTGGCATATGAAGTTCATCTTATAGGCGCCCTTGATCCCAACCAGGTGTTCTGGACTTCTAGGAAACACATCTCACCTCTTTCATCTTGCAGCCTTTCATAACAGGTTATTGTTTTGTTTTAGTTCTAGGAAAATGCAAATAATGACTTAGATTGGATTAGTCGATACCAAATTCAAATACTTCATTTGCTTTTAAATTCATTTGGATTGAATAACCTCAAAGTGAAGCTTTGTTTCACTAGCTAAGTTTTTACCATGCACAGACAATGGTGATAAGCTCATCTATCACAGTCTTAATCCTTTGTGCCTTGGGTAACACTTTGTTTCTGTAGGTTCCTTGTTGGCATGGGGAAGGGGGGGTAGGCCATCCCCCAACCCATAACCCTCCAACCTAGGTGTAGATGACTCTGGATCTCCTGCTCACGAGATTTCTGCCCATGTCTACTCACAATACACTACCTCTCGTGAATTGGGAACATCTTCCCTACATAATATTATGCAGGAGGCCATGTGTGGCTGTGATATTATGTGGGTAGACGTGGGCAGAATTTGTGTGGGAAGGAGATCCTGATTCGGTGTAGATGGGATTCAATCCCAAATCTCTGCTACGACCAATAGGAAACCTTATCAACCAGCTGATTGACACCTTGCAAACCTCTTCTGTACTTTAAATCCTCCCCAAAACTCATTTCTCTTTTTCATTTAAAAAATCCTTACCACAACCAATCTAACAAAAATCAAATTTATTGAAGGAGAACAAAGAAAATAACAGCCACTCTTGTTCCATGCTCTGTCTCTTTGATCTAAGTGGTCTTCCCGAACGGAACCACTGCAATGAATGCAATGGTAAGTAAGATGTTGGATACTGCTGTTGTATCATCTTCGTCTTCATTATTTGGGATCCGACAGCTATTATCTTGTTCTCTCTTCAGGAATGGAAATAGTTACTATTTACCAAGAAAACCACAAGTTGCAATGGTAAATTAAAAGTCAACAATCGTGATCTACGTCTATGTTTGAGTGTTTTCAGTGAGGGCAAAATTGGGTTTTAAAAAGTTATAACATTCATGTGCAATCACATGCAGACAGAAAAAGTAAAAAGTTATAACATTCAATTGTTAAAAAACTGAAGGTACTTTAAGGGATTTTAGAACAGTAAAAGTAAATTAGCCCATTTCCTAAAACACGGGGGTAATTAAAGAGATTTTCCCTTTGTTCTTTCTCGCTGACCCGTTGGGCGTTGGCACATACTATTGAAACTATGGGTATATTTGGTGCCATTGCTATTTCCAACTGAAACCCTACCACATCAGTGCCACCTAGGCATTTTGAATTGCAATGTGAGTTTTTTATTTGGTTGAGACTGCTTTAACTCAAAACAATCAAAAAACGTTTTTGTCTAAAAATAACAAGGGGACGTTGGAGGAAACATCAAATTGAGGTTTCCCCCAACATCCATTGTGTATCTAATATGGCACGCACTTGTCATCCGATGTGGCGTGGTGATCAATTGATATAGTGCATCCCGTATCATACAACACTTCAATGTGATGTGGCACTTACCTATCATCCGATGTGGCAGTATCATATAACACTTCAATGTGATATGGCATTTACCTGTCATCCGATGTGGCATGGTGATGATTTGATTCAATGCATCCCGTATCATACAACACTTTAATGTGATTGATGTTACATGAGAGAAAAATAAAATCCGATGAAATCCAAGATTTGGAAAATTCTTATCGGCATACCGGAAGTGTGATTGGTGTTACATAGAATTAAAATGTTTACTTTAAACACTTCAACGTGAAACGGGACATAACAAACACATATCTATCATAACTGCCTAGTCAACGTTGCATTGCTATTTAGACTATAGACATTAAGTTTAATTAAAGAAATTTCTCCTCTAACCATTGAAACTTGCACCACCCACACTTAGGCGTGTCAACGGTAGTCGAAAACTTCATTTCGAATTTGATATTCAACATAATCAATTCGAATTTGAATAATTCGAATATTTAATCGGTTGAATTCGGATATCTTATTCATGCAAAATAATTAATCAGATTCGAATTTGGATATGACTTGATTCAATTCGATAAATATTTGAATTCGACCGATTATTTAATTCTTATATATAATATATAAAATATTTTATATAATTTATATATATATAATAATTAAGTTATATAAATAATTCATATATTTATATAATTTATATCAATAAAATATTTATTTTATATATTTATTAATTATCTAAAATAATTAATTAATCGAATTTGAATCAAATATTCAAATATTTAATTGGATTCAAATTCGGGCATTGATTTTCAATATCCATCGAACATCGAATCGAATTCGGATATTAGGTTTTTTAATCGGATTCGAATTCGGATATTGCTTGATCTGATTCGAATTCGATCCGTTTACACCCCTACCCACACTACTCAAAATGTTTCAACCTGAAATGGCAATGATACCAAAGATAACCTATGGTAGTGTTTGGCATCGTTGTCGTTTTTTCAGAAAATGGTGCTATATAGGCACTACATCAGAAAAATGGATGCTTTAGAAAACAACCTTTTATTTGGTATTATTTTTTCTTGAAAAAATGTTGTTTCAAACCATACCTTAAAAATTGAGAAAGTATGTTCTATTACTGCTAGCAATACAATGATTTGGCATCAATATAGCATCATCTTAGACATTGGATAATATGAGGAATACTGAAAATAGTGCTCTTTTCTTAAAAATCAGCCTATGTGCCAAAATAAGAAAAAACAGTGGTTACAACTCAGACATGCACGGCAACAATGCGAAACGCCTACTATATTTGTTAACGTGTGAAAATATGACATTCGCTGTGATGTGAATAGGAAACCTATAAAATACCCGACACGGACGCGATTAGCAAAACACCAAATAGAAAACCTCTACACCTCCATCCCACTTTTCAGTCTTCACTCCCTCCGTCGCGTCCCAGTCCGACCACCATAATCTCGCCGTTAAATCTAGAGCTGGCTAACTAACCAGAAAGGTTAGTTCTCTCTCTCTCTCTGCTGGATCGTCCGCTCAAATATTAAGAAGCAACAACTATTTCTTGCTCCGTCGTTTTCCCAAACAAAATAAAAGAAAATATTTCTTGCTCTGTCTCCTTTTATTTATTTGTTTATCACAGAATTTGTTACATGTCTTTTATATTTATGAATGCCTATTGATTCTGACAGTCCCTTGATATTTGCAATTTTAGGGTTTGAAAGGCTGATGATATTATATATAGAATGGGATTGGCAGGATTGAGGTAAAGAACTTCTGCAGTAGAAAACCACCCTTGTAGTTTGATTACTGCATATCTGTTATATATGCTTTTAACATGTGTTTTAACCTCTGCTATAGCTAGACTGGATTATTAATAATTTAAATGTGTCAACCTTTGGATTTTGAAGTTCGCAATCACTCATGTATTGTAACTTCAATGAGAGAGGTCTCAAGACTCTAGAATACCAGCCTCTGGATTCTGTTCGTAAATGATTGTTTTCCCCAGAGATAGGATACCAACTTGGATTGCATTCACACGGTATATTTATGGTACCGAGAATATTGGTTTGTATGGAGAAGAATGTAGGTTTGTATATTCGTCCTTCAGATATATATATATATATATATATATATATATATATATAGTGTGTGTGTGCGTGTGAATTGTAAACATGCCTTCTTTGGTACTAATTTGATTGATTAGTTAATTATCAATTTTTTCTTGATATGTAGCTAATAATTCTTCTTTTCAGGTCGGGTTCCTCAGAGGAGGAATGTTCAAGAAAAAATCGCAAATTTGAAAAGAAGCTTCAGTTTTATGCTAGTAAGTGGCCAAATTGTCTGGGAACTGTCTGTACCATTGACATTTTAGTGGAATGAATCTCTAGGAAAGATAAGCGCTTCAATTATCTGTGAGACATCGAGACGTGGTGGTACTGTGGTAGGTTGGCCCTGAAAATTAAGAAAAAGGAAAGAACAAAGTAACCGTTTTCTCTTTAGTGGATTTCAAGCTTCTAACATACTAAGCTAAGGAAAATCTATGACACCAGAAAGCACCCTGTGAATTTTCTCTTCATCAATCAAAGCGCCCTGTGATTGATTTCACCATCAAAGCACTGTTTTCTCTTTGATTGACATTTTAGTGGAAGAAAGTAACCGTTTTCTCTTTGATTGATTTCACCAATCAAAGCACCCTATGAATTTTGATGAACACCACCTGATTGTTCACTTCATTTATGATACCAGTTGATTGGTCACTTTTTTATGACTCAATGTTATTGACGAATTCTTTCTATTCTGTTTTAACCTTTCTGGTGTCTAGACTGGTGGTTAGCAGTAGCGCTATCCGATTTTGCAAAATAAATAATCCTTATATTTTTAATCTATTGGCATCTTAGGAAATAAATGTTACATGTTGCCAGGGAATTCTTGGGTTGATGAAAAAGGTGTATGTAGTCCTGATAATTTGCTTCACTATTTGTTCTCTCTACATATGGAAAGCTTACTTATGAGTTAAATTTCCAAGGAAAAAGCATATTTTGAGCTTTCCAAGGATGAAAAAAAACTTTTGGTGAATCCACCGCCAGGGATGAATCCTTGAAAATGGATATTGTAGATGTGCTTTAAAGTAAGAAACAAATGTTTATACCATGGGGCACTTGATTGACCTTTTTGGTTGCTTCATATATATTCTGATAAAACTAGTCTAGTATAATGCACTAGGCTTGAAGGTAGCCTCACGTTTTGGACTGATTTGGCACATGAGTGTATCTTTCCTCGTGGGGTTTTGCTTGTTTGAGGTCACAAATTTGGTCTCCAATCTCCTCTTCCTTGGCTTCGTTTAGGTTCATAGATTTGACTATTTCTAGATTACAAAGAGCTTTTCAAATGGAAAGCATTGCAATCTATCTTTTAAAAGCAAGAAGTGCAAAGGGTTCCTAGAGGCTGAGGCACAATGTTAAGATCATGCTTGAAAGAGTGAATAGGGGTGCAAATGGATCGGATCATCCGATCCAATCCGAAGTCCAATCCTATTTTGTCGGGTTCAGATAGCCCTATCTTGGATTTTTGGATTGGATCAGATTCAAATCACCCCCAATCCTCCTATAGGATCCAATCTAATATATATATATATATATATGTTATTTATTTATAAATATGTTATTTATAAAAAAACATGTATATATATGATGAAAATAGTTGAAAAAATACTTGTTTTTTTTGTTTTCTTTATTTAAACTGTTATATTTTCTTTTCCTTTTAATAATTCGAATTCGAATCAGTATTTATGAGATCTGATTGGATCAGATTGGATCTACAGTGTGTTGGATCGGATTCAAATATACCCTGATTCGAATCCGATCCGATCCTCCGTTTGCATCCCTAAGAGTGTAGCATTACTTTTATAAATCATAGTTGTCAAGGCGACGCCTAGGCAACAAGGCGCCCTTGGAGGCTCGCCTCGCCTAATTGCCAAGCAGTTTTCTATAGTGTGTTATAAAAAACTTTTATGTTCTTAATTTTTTGAGGTTATAATTATAAAATAGATGTTTTTAAACTAAAATATTCATTTTGTGTGTTTATATACTAATTTCTTTTTATTATTTTCTTATTTGTTATTGTTTAATCAACACAAACATTGCTAAATGCTGTATTAAACCCTCAAAGACTTCAAAACCTGAACCAATAAGTGAGGAAGAACATAAAATGTTGTCCAATCAACACATTTTCTTCTTTTTCTTTACTAATTTTGTGTGTTTATATACTAATTTCTTCTTCTTCTACCTTTTCTTTTCTTCTTTACCTATAACAGAAATAGGGGTTCAGCCCCTATATATTTTTTTTTTTTTCTTTTCTTCTTTTTCTTCTCATGAGTATGTTGATTTTCTATACTTTAACATGAAGTTTATGCTTTTCTTATGAAAATTATGGATATTTATTAAGGAAATATGATTCTGGAACCTAGGGAACTACCCTAGATTACATGTTTTTATTTAAAAAAATCCATCGCCTAGGTGCCCGCTTAGGTGACTAGGCGACAAGGCGCCCCTTGTCACCTAGCCTTGCCTTGGCACCTTGAAAACTATGTTATAAATTTGAACAAAGTAAAAGATTAATATACAAGAATATGCAAATCTAAATTCTGAGAAATAAAATACATCCAAAAGCAAAGTTCAAGTGTTAGAGTATTATGTTATAAATACAGTGGTTCTAGCCTGGAATGTTCCAAGTCTTGTATGGACTAAACTGTTCAAGCTCAAAGCCTCGGAGGTACACCTTACAATATGGTAGATTATGTACTCAACATCAAATTCAAGGTAAATTCATCAAAACTTAGCAAGAAACTAGGTGAATGCACCTAGGTTCGGGTGAGGAGCACCCAGCAAAATGAGCCTGATGCTGAGTCGAAGGGCATGCCTTTTGAAATACTGGTTCCCACAGCACATGCAACCTAAGTCCCTTATTTTTTTTCTCCTCTATTTTTCTTTAATAGAACCTACAGGATAGATGCACATGAAAGATGTTTTTGTCCCCATCAATGAACTGGTTAGTCTGGCCAACCACATTCAGCTGCAGTCATCATGCATTGAGCAAGGATAATAGCCTTAGTGATAGTTGCTATAAAAAAAGTGGTGACAGTTAGAGCTATTAAAATGCTAATTTGAAACCATATCTATTTCTATTAGAAATACTTGCGAGTGCAGTCACACAAGCAATAAAATATCTTGGCCTGAGGAGCATATTTACTAGTTATATCATCTGTTTCTTACCAAAAAAATGTAGGAAGATGATTATTTTTGGAGTCATACCTATACATCCATTTCTTATTACTTTTTAAAATTGATTATTAAATTGCATAAAAAATTATAGAGATACAGTCACCATTGATCTGTTATTCTTTAAGGATCCAATTCTCTACACCGAATTGTCAAAAACTTCCGTTTCTCTTTTTTTATTTTCATGAAAGCTTATTACAAGATTTCTTACCCACGAGTGATTTGAGGAATTATTTTATTTATATTGAACTCATAGTCCAGTAGAATTTATCAGAAGCTACATGTATCTAAATTTTCCTTTATATATTACTGCAGAGATTAGAGACATGGTTGCTTCCCTACATGCAAAAAAGACGATTAGCAAGGTGAGATGCTTAAAATTGAGACATGATCTCTTTAGTTCAGGCATTTTTATTGTTGTTATTACTTCTGGCCATGTGAATTATACCTGTTTATGTATTTCCTGTAAGGCTGTAAGATATTATTGAGGATGGCTGTGTTTGTATCCATGATTGGAAGAAACTATTTTCATCCATGTGTTTGTACTTTCTCAGATATGACAAGAGCTAGACGCATTGAGGTTCAAATTGATATTGGGTTAATCACAGTGTCACAACATTATCAATCAAACTAAAAATAAAGTTGCTGGCTTTCATTAACATGATAACTGTAAAGAATTAGCAGTTGAAGTTAGATTTTTTTTTTTTTTTCCATGGGAAGGATACAGCCATACAGGATCAATAAGTATTTATCATGCAATCTCTATGTCCATTCTGTTCCTTCCAGTGGCCAGAATGTTCTAAATTATTCTTCTCACTGTAGAACCTCAGTCAGTTCATTTTGATCCTTGTTCATCCAAAATCTAGCTGATTTATCAAGAACCCTCTCTACAAATTGTGGATTTCACTGTTTAAATCATATTTGGGATTACAAACAGATAATTGTCATTGTTTGAAGCACATGTATCTCTTGTTTGAATCATTGTCATCATCCAAGCCCTTAGCCCAACTATATGGGGTTGGCTACATGAATCCTTTTTTCCACTCCATTCTATTTAAATCCATATTCATTGTTAAATTATGAGCGCTTGAACCATTTCTTAGTATGACCCATCTCCTTTTTGGTCTAGCCCTAGCCCTTCTAGTCCCTTCAACTTGCAACAGATCACTTCTTACAGGTAAGCATGTGACTAAACCATCTTAGTCTACTTTCTCTCGTTTATCACCTATTGGAACTACTAGGTTCCTTTGAATGGCTTCATTTCTGACCCCATCCTTTCTAGTTTTTCTGTTCCTCCATCTTAGCATATGCATTTCTGCCATGCTCATTTTTTGGACATGATATTTCTTGACTGCCCAACCCTTTGCTCCATACAGCATAACTGGCTTTACAATTGCTTTATTAAATTTTCTTTTTAATCTAAGTGGTATTCTCTTATCAAACATCTCAGGTTTGAATGTATTTTCTAAAAATTAATAATTTGAAAATGAGAGTAAATACACAATGTTGGATGTTTTCTACTTCAATTGCTCTTGATTGAAGTATCAATATCTCCATGGTAATCTTACAAGCTTGTTAGGCAACCCGAGCCCTTAGGATATGGGAGATGACTGTAGAGAGGGAGAATTGTGGGTATACTCAAGAGCCATAGGAGGAGACTTTTGAGAGATAAAATCATCTCCCTAGTGCAAAGCTTGAAATTTGGACTTTCCCTTGATCTTGAAAGATTCATGGTGGAAAGAGACTATGGATTGTAGTAGGCTCACCGTGATCTCCCACAGGAATGATGTGGACATTGCCTCACCTCATTAAAGAAGTGAGATAATTGGCTACTATACTTTGGGGGGCTTTAAGCCCAAGTGTATTTTATACTTTGGTTCTCTCATTTGAGACTTCCAAATTATGGAGTGCACTATTCTCTATCTTTTTTTTCAAGGTGAATGGTTTTCTAATTGGGTCAAGGGAACCTTCATAGACAACCCATTTATATCTTCCACATGGAGGAATTCTGTGGCCATTCCAGACTGGCCATCAGATAGGGGATCTTCTGGATCAACTGTTTGCTTCACTGCTATCATATGCCCCATCTTGTATTACGGTTATGAGTGATTAGTAATAATGACCCTCCAGTTTTTCACTCTTTTATTTAAAAGATACCTGTTGAGTGATTAGTTAATGCTCATGTTGAACACATGGCAAAGGTATACAGTCTTTTTGGTCTCTAAAAAATATATGATAGGGATAGATAGTCTTTTTGGGCTCTAAAATATTTTCCATGCAGAAGATTCCTGGATCATATTCACTACAAAACCAGACTAATCTACCCACCCCTTGTTAATATTATCTCCTCGATTGTATTACTGATCAAAAAAGATTTCAGATGGAAATTTCTCTTAATTTTATATGACCTTGATGATGCAACACTAATGCTTATATTGCAAAATGTGAAGTCATGTGAGTGGTAACTGGCTATTATTACTTGGTGTTAGAACTTGGAAATAGTCTCATTAAATGCTTAAGTGCTAACCATAATGACTATGAAGTTTCATACCCATTAATAATGTACAAAGATGAAAACAACACCATTTATTTTCTCTTTGTTCTCTCTGCTCCTTGAAACTAACCAGTGAATGAGCATTTTTTGAGGTTTAAAGCAGTGGCCTTTATTCCTCTTTAGCCACTCGCCCTGGTGGGTATCACATTTCACAATGATCTACCATAACTCTTTTATCTGTGCTAACTAACCGAAGCTGTCCTTACTCATAATGAGCTCCTAATGATGCGTGTTACTGGTTCATTTCTTCTAAATCCTTAATTCTAATCTTAAAATTAACCTGTTAAGCAGAAGAAAAAACTTAGAAACCGTCAGAAGAAACTGAAAGCATATGATCTCTCCTCCCTTGCTGAATTTCTTCCTGAGTTGAAGGCTCCACGTCAACCAGCTCCAGAAACTAACTTCAAGCTAAATAGCAAGTCTAGACGGAAGCTAGTGTAAGTTTTTCAATTATTTCAAGTTACATTTTTGACTAGTTTTGTTGTTCCTTCTGTATTCCTTTGGCCTGAAACAATTTGAGTTTGTTGTGTGGGGTTTGTTTCATCAGTGAGAAGGAAGGAGAACAGTTGAGGAAAGTCCTTAATCATCCTGCATTTCAGACGGATCCACTGTCAGCAATTCATCAACATCTGCAGAGCACACAACCTGTTCAAATTGAGAGTCCAGTAAAAACTTTGAAGAAAACTACAAGGAAGACAAAGAGGAAACGGTCAAAGGCTTCATCTGGGGCCAAATCGATGGAAATCTGATGTGCAATGATGGAGCCATATATAATTTTTTACTCTATATAAAAGAAACCCGGGTAAAATGTCAGCATGGAAAGCTAAGTTGCAAGTTGAAATCGGAATGAAGCATTTCTTTCCCACACTTGATAGCTTTTCCTCATGGTTATGCTCTGTGTGCGTAGGTTGAACTTTGAACATTGCAATCAAGAACACTACCATAGGCTAGTGGCATATTATCCGGCATTGATTAGGCTGTCCATACTCCATACGGATTAAGAGTCGAGACTAGAGAAATTCACGGATTTACTTTTGCAATCCCGTTGGGTAGTAGGAGCTTCTTCCTTGCACGGCTAATTTTCTTTCTGCCAGATGGTGAATTGTTTTGGTCAATCCATGCAACACTTCTATATTGATCTCTTTTGGCATTTTGGTGATACGCCCGAATCCTCCATAGGGGCGTTTGAATAGAGCTGAACCACATTGAACCCCCCCTCTCCCGAAAGTTGGTGGTTGCGGGGATCGAATCCATTTTTCTGCTGGGATAAACTGGCTAATTACCAACTGATCTATTCATCAGTTGGCTTCTATAATTAATAGCAAGATGTCTCTATACACACATATTTGAATTTTTTTCATAAAAAATAAGGTGGATATGTTAGTTTGCGCTAAAAGGGAGAAAAAAGAAGTGTGGATATATTACATAATATGAATTTGAAATTTGAATTTTACACAAAATCAAGACCTAATTTGGTGGTTAAAGCTGACTAATCTAAGTTTTAAGCCTTTGGTTCTAGTCACAACTTTAAACGCTTTTATGATTTTCACTTCGTGGTTAAGGCGTTTAGCCCATTAGAACCACAATGCCAGCCCTGTTGTTATTTCCACTGGGCACTGGCATGACCTTTCCACGCTCGAGTTTATTAAACCATCTGAAATTCGCACAAGGAAATGGGGATTGTTGTTTCCATTGGGTTGTGCTGAGGTTTACAAGACGATCCGAAAAGGAGTGAGGTTCCTCAAAGGCCACCTTTCAAATTAGAATGAAGAATTGTTGTTTTTTAGCGTTTAATTGTTGATTGATTTGTTGGACGATAGTAGCACTTTTTTTTTTTTTTTTTCCTTTTCTAGAATCACAAGCCTACAACATGTACAATTTATCGCTTTTCTATTTTGTAAGCCACTATGCTGCCACAATTCTCACCCCTCCCATGACCCATCACCCTTACGACAGAACTCTTAAAATTGATTCTCATCACCCTCACCATTATACTCGATATCACTGATCATACTGCCACAATCCTCATCCCTCCCACTGCCTTTTCTCTTTCTATTGCCCTTCTGGGTTCTTCTACCACTGTTGGTAGTGGAACCAAATGAATTGGATTGGTGTGAAACATGGTCATTTGTCCATTGCATTTCCAAAAGAAAATTAAACAATTAGAAAATTAAGGGTCCGTTTGGTTTCCTGGAATAGGTGCCTCAAAATAGAATTGGAATGGCCCATTCCATTTTCAACTTTGTTTGGCAGGAATAGGGTTCCGATTCCCATTCTTGGGAGAATGGCATTCCCATTCCAGAGTCTGTCAAGAAGTAAACAATTCATGACAAAAAAGTGCAGAAAAAACTCTAAACCCTAATATTAATAAAATAATAAAATACTATTAAATTAATAATAATAATAATAATAAAATATTAGTAAAATAATAATACTATCATAAAATATTAATAAATTAATAATAAAAAGCAAAGACATTATTTATTAAATAATAATTGTAATAATAATTAAGTACAAGTAACATATTAATATAACATAATTAAAGTAATAATAAAATACTAGGACATTAATTATTAAATAATAATAATTAATGTTAAAATAATAAACAAAATAATAGAACACTAATAAACTAATAAGAAAATCAGAATAAAATATAATAAAACAATAAATTATTAATAAAATGTAATAATAGAAATTTTATGAAAGTAATAATAAAATAATAGTAACAAAGTAATAATAAAAAGAAAATATATTATTTATTAAATAATAAAAATAATAATAAGTACAAATAAAATATTAATATAATTTGATCCTATCTGTAAACTAAACGGACCCTAAGACTAGGATATGATAGGAAAGTTGAGGCTTTTGGTTCATTATTTCCTTTTTCTTTTGGAAAATTAAGGCTTCTCCAGAAGCTGGATTGGTGTGGCAGAGATTATCAAATTTTATAGCTCAAGTCAGAGATGGAACCCTGTAATTTCCAAATTCCAATGAAGCCATAGTAAATCAACTAACAAAGCATTGTACTTATGAATTAGTATTTATTATTATAGAATGAAACAGTGAAACGGGATTCAAATAGCCAAGTAGCCAACTGACTATAGGGGATAAAGCTTTGAGTTGGGTGGGCTGGTGATAGCGACTTTCATTGATCACGATTTGTCCTAGAATCTCCCTTAATTCTAAATCAGCACAAATCTTGTTGCAGAAAACATATACTGCAAAAAAAACTTTGCAAATGAGAACCCAAAACAGAACTGTCTTAACCTCTTGGGTAGTGTGTTTATAGTGCACATTTGGAACAAAATCATTTCATCTTAGGTTTCCTTGGCATTTGACTGCATAGCTCCAGTGCTCCACCCCTTAAAAATAGATTGAAAGTATAACAAAATAGGAAATTGGCTCATTACAGACATGAATTTCTTGATAACAACTGCCGCATAATACTTTCGGGATCAAATAGTCACTGCACACGAATGAAGAACCCAAATACTTTCCAATGCAAACTAATATATTTATAATGATTTAGTAAAGTAGTCTTCACACAATAGTTTTCTCAAAGCATTTGGATACATTCTTAATAACAATTCAACTCTTTCTTTCTATGACCTGCCATAGTAACTTTAGGGACATGGGGAGATACATAACTGGAAGGGAATCCACAACTCAAATAGTAGTGCAACTGTTTAAGCCTGAAAGGAAAAAAAAAGAAAAGAAAAACAATTAAAATTAGTCATTATATAATATCCAAGCCAGAAGTAACAATTAAGGACGAGGGGGGGGGGGGGAAGGGAATACATTATCTTGCCTTGTTAGATATATTGCTAGATAACCAATCAAGACCTTCATAGAGTCCTTGGCCAGAGGTTGCACAAGTACTTTGGATGTACCTGTATAAGATGATCATCACAGCATTACTAACCAAACCTCTTTTAAGGGACCTTTCAGCACTAAATGATGAAGATATTTACATTTGGATTCCTGAGCTGAGATCAGAGTATTTTCAAATAAACCACCTAACAACTGTGCTTTCATTTTTGGAAGATAGCGATCAAGTCAGATTTACAGTATCCTCAGAAGAGAAACACAACAAGTAGATGTTTGATCAGACTATTAATTTTTTCTTTCAATTTAAGCTTGATCAGACTGTTAAATTTTTCTTTCAATTTAAGTTTAAAGACATCAATTTTAGACTGTTTTAAGAAGATTACCCATTCCTTCCTAGGATGTTTTAAGAAGATTGCCCACTCCTAGACTGTTTTACAGTTGACTGAGTTTTGCTTGTGAAGTTTATATAGAGGGAAAAAAATATTGATTATAGAGTCTGGCTTGCATTTTTCAGGTCAGACTATTTATGCTTGACATGAAATTTGAAATTTTGAAAAATTGAAATGAATCAAATAATATCATGCATTGTCCAGCGTTCTATCTAAAAACAATATTCACCAATTCTTTCTATTTAATGTATGAAGATGCTGGTCTTATAACCTATGCCAGAATTTGGAGAAGCCAAAAAGGGAAGAAAATGATAAACAAGTTCATACTATATCTAAAATGAGATGAAGGAATCTCTAAATCCATAACTATTCTATGGTTGCAGACATGTCCATGGTATTCAGGATTTTAATTTGTTTTGACTTTCAAAAATACCAAGCTAGATAGCATATACTCCTGCCTGATAATTTTGATGGGTAAGGAGTCACTTCAAACTGAAGCAAGAAAATGATGAAAATGTGTATGATCATTTTCACTGTTTCATAAAAAAAATAATTGTGTGGACCAGGGGCAGAGCCAAGTTATTGGGTGGGGAGGGGGGTGGGGTGGGGGCAGAGCCACATTAATTCTTGATCTCAATCCTGACCCAATTTGATTTGTTGAAGTCCCAATTCTAACTTTAAGATAACCTTTTTTTTTTCCTGTGTCAATCCAATTTGTTTGGATTGCATTTTCAGGTTGGCTTGATTGGAATAACTTATTTACTTTATTTTGTAGGATTGGATTGGACAATGCCTCAACCTTAGCCCAGCCCGAATCTAAACAGGGCCTTATATTTTTTAATCTTGACCTTGAGAGAAACTTCAAATCGAATTTTTGGCTGAATTTTAGATGGAGAATACTTCCTATAGGTGCAGCACAGAAAATTTTGCCCAGCCTCCATTCTCCATTCTCCATTTTCCCTCATTTCTGGAACCAAAAAAAAAAAAAAAAAATCTCCCTCATCTCTTGGCCCCCCTAGGGAAAATTCCTGGCTCTGTCACTGGTGTGGAGATCATGGTTATTTTTCTTTTGGATCATTAAATCATGGTTATTCTTAGGCCAGTAAACTGCAGTTGAACTAGAGATCTTTAGGTCACATCATGGGCTATCCAACTGTGAATCAGGTGCCAAATAGTGCTGAAGTAATAGCCTTTCCTTAGAACCATCATTAGGAATGCAACTGCAATAGATAATAGCTTAGACAGCCTTGGAGCTTCAGATTATTTTAAGAAATCTTAGACTTACCAACGGCGCTGACGGAGTGAGTGTAGGCCAAGTTTATCAGTGATTTCAGAAACATTCATAGCATTTGGAAGGTCTTGCTTGTTTGCAAACACAAGCAATGTTGCATCACGTAGTTCATCCTACAAAAATATATAAATAAATAAAAATGAAAACACAAGTAGGTCACTATATTGCTTAGAAATCTACCAATCAGATCATTCACACTGTAATCATGTAAAAAAGGTCTGTAGTGTTACATACATACCTAGGTTTAAGGAATTGCTAAATGAATCTCACAGATCAACAACAAGAAGGGAGAATGAGAAGCATATCATAAAAGTCAATTCATTTAAAAGGTCAAGTTTGTTTGTGACCTTGTGTACCAGAAATCTTCATGTGAATATAGAATAAGGTAAAAACCTTAGGAGAAGCTCCTTTTGAGAGAGTGGGTGTCTGGGAAGAATCATCTTATTAGTATAAGGTAATCATTTATTTCCACATGGAACAATTACAAGGGAATCAATTGTCTATCAATGACCACGACCTGCCAATCTATTGGCTATATCAGAGACCATTTGTAATATAGACCGACTGCCAAAAAAATTGTGATGGATCAAATGTTTCAAGTCATCCAAGTACGTTGGTTTCTAACAATTCTAGTCAAACCAATATACATCTAGTGGATCTTTCTATTATGCATGCTTTGATAATGCATGAAAATTTTGCATCACAAACCTCACTCAGCATTCGATGTAGCTCGTCCCTAGCTTCTGAAATTCTCTCTCTGTCATTGCTGTCCACCACAAAAATCAGCCCTTGGGTGTTCTGGAAATAATGCCTCCATAAAGGCCGAATCTGTTTTGGAATGAGCTTTTAAGATATGTACATCGCAAGGGTGTAGCAATATGCAATAACAAGCAACTCATGCAAACATTATTTCAAGGCAAAAGAAAGTCTTGTATCCAGAATACAGCTTCCAATAGTCAGATTTTAGATTGAGAAGAAAACAACAGCCTGTATGGAATAATATAACTGATTTAATTGAAGTATGATCCAACATGAAATTGGTAAAAGAGAACAAGAAGATGGTTCCTGATGGAGGTAAGAAAGTTTAACATGAGAATTCTATGTTCTAAATTTCACTCTTTAGAAAGTGTTAATGTTTGAAGAAATGAGCAATGGCTAGAAAAATTCAACCGTTATCTACATAAACTAAGCTAAGAAAATGAAATACATAAATCAATTGATTAATCAGAATTCAAAGAAATACAATAACATTCATAGTCACAAAATCAGTACCTTATCTTGCCCTCCTACATCCCAGACAGTGAAGCTAACATTTTTATATTCCACTGTTTCCACATTAAAACCTGGAGAATGGAAAATCAAGTTCTTAATTAAGCTGTATTAACTTTGTATGAAATTAAGACTTAGAATTCATGAGAGAGAGAGGTTGTCAAGTTAGAGGAAAATCCCCTCATTTAGTGAGAAATTCACTTCCCAAAAATACTCAAGTGCAAGTGCATAAGCAACCCCCCCCCCCCCGAAAAAAAAAAAAAAGGAAGAAGAAGAAGAATCACCAAAGTATATCATAGATTGCCACTTCATTGAGTATAAAGAACAGCTTGCTGACTTGGGAGTTTGACTGAATTTTGGATTCATCTTAGGATTTGCATGGGTCAACTTGGGAGTTACTTTTTTTTATTACATAAAGAATTTACAAATAATGGTTGAGATGCATAGTTTTTTTCCTGGCAATTACGGGTAGTTTCTATAATAACTAGTAAATACAAACTTAAATCACAATTAAATATTAAACCCAAACTAGTAATTAATATGCTTTGTGCCTAATTCAAATAATTGTAATTTACTCAAGATTTCTATGAAACTAACTTGTAATATTTAATTCAAATTAAGAGTTTCTGAAACAATTTTGAGATCCTTATGGGTTCTGTATTTGTATATTCTATTTGGTTATGAACAGGAAGTTCTACCAGCCTAAGTTGAAAGGTTGAGTCTTGATGGATGGTATCAAATTTTAGTTATGATTAATTAAGATGTGCAAGTGCCTAAATAAGTATCACAAGTTTACAAAAACAAAGCCTTATCCCAGTTATATGGGATCAACTACACATATCCTGTTTCACCATTCCAGTCTATGTAGGACTATATACATGATTATTCATGAAATTGTGAGTCCTCGAATCATTTTCACTAATTTAATCCATGTTCTTCTTGGTCTGAACCTAGTTATCCAAACCCTTCAATTTGCAATCAGTTACTTCTTAGTGGTGCATTACTAGGTCTGTTATGGCACATGTATGCACCATCCACAAAAAAAAAAAAAAAGATTAAACAACTGATTTAGATAATATGGGAGAGAAAATTAGTTAACATAAAAAAAAAGAGATTTAGGTGAAAATGAGTTTGAGGTATATAATCTAGTAAAATCCAAGTTCAGCTGGAAGACCACCTTCTGTATCAATCTATTATGATATATATTGATCCATCGAAAAATGGTCATTTTAAGATAGAATTAAGCTTGGAGTTTCTTTTTACCAAGTGCATACTTATTTGCTTCTTTTTTGTTAATGTATACAGGATTGGGCCAAGTGAATATAATGGGCTCAAAGGAGATATTTATCAACAAATTGATTCATAGGTGTCATGCATGCTAGGAGTCATCACCATTACTCAGCTCCCATCTTTTGTAGTGAAGTCAATTCAAAATTCGTAGTATACATAAAGGTGACAAAGAAGCATGCACAAGAAATGAAAAAACATATCTTGAACTCTTGTAACTGAAAAAATTACCTGGTTATTTTTCTTCTGCGTAGTTCATTCATTCAGAAGCAATATCAGTGAGAATAAGACCATATAAGAACAGCTCAAGATACACTCTATGTTCTGGGCAATTCTGTAAATAGTGAATAGTTTCTGGCGGGCTTTGTTTTTGTGCCCACAAATCTTTGTTAAACCTCCTTTTTTTTAATCTAATGAATCGATTTTGTGTTGCTGATAAAAAAAAAAAAAGAACAGCTCAAGATAGTATGCTGTCAACATGTCCAAATTGCTAATGCTGAAGAGACTTACTAGATAAGGGAAAAAAATAGAAGGGCTTGAAATTTTAGTTTTAAGAAGAATAAGTGGAAGAGGATTATGCAATATTTTCCTGTTGACCATTTCATTGAGTCATCTTCCTAAAATATCGTAGGTAGCACTGAAGGGTTTCATTCTCTGTATTGTCAAGTTAGATATCCTTTAACTTCAGCTAGGAGGAAATAAGATCTCTTCAAATTCCTTCTCCCTTCTCCTTCAAAGCTTTAACATACTTCAATAAAATAATGCAAGTATTTTCTTTTACATATTAGAGAAATAGCTATAAAAAACCCAAGGACAAAGGATTAGAAAACTTATGAGCATCTCATATGAGAAACTTGAGATGAAAGAAAATGATAGGTTCATAATAAGCAAATCTCCAAAGATAGCGTAAAGATTCCTTGGGTTATATACATAGTTCAGTACACAAACAGGGCAAAGGGAAAAAAGAAAAAGTTCTCTAGAGCTAATAACAATTCAACCATAACCAGTATTTCAGTCTCTTAAAAACACAATAAACATTTTTTAAGAAGGAACTTAATATAATCCAAAAACACAATTAACACAGTTTCATGTATGTGGCAGGATTATGATGAACTGATCTGTTGGAAGATTTAGTTCTATCTAGGAAGATAATCTAAAATACCCGGATGTATCAAGATTTTGGTGGACTTTGGTGGAAAGTGAAGTTAACTGATATCACAACACAACTGTGATTCTGTGAAGGGATAAGTTTAAGAGTACTTTGTATCAAATATACACCAGAAAATCATGTAGGACTGGGGTTACTTACCAATGGTAGGTATGGTAGTAACGATCTCTCCAAGCTTTAGCTTGTATAAGATTGTTGTCTTCCCAGCAGCGTCAAGACCCACCATCAGAATCCTCATTTCTCGCTTTGTAAAGAGAGCCTTTACAAGTCGAGACAAGTACATACCCATTTCTGCAACTGATTCAACCCAAGAAAGAAAAACATAATTAAGAAACCAATGATATTCTTAGAAAATTAAGAGATCTTCTTAGATCTGAAAAATAACATGGAAAGGAAGAGCTAAAAATCCCAGAGTCAAGAAGACACAGAAGGATCGGTTAACTAACCTGATAACTGCGAGATGGGAAAGTTCCAACGATGTGAGGAAACAGAGAAGTGGAAGGACCTCTTTCCGAGCTGCTTTGCTATCTTATCTCATCTATCAGGCGTCGTTGGTCAAGGGTATAAAGGAGAAGAATAGGATTCCAATGAGGGAAAGGAGAGAATAAAGGGAACAACATTTCTGCTCTTTAGTTCTTTCTTTCATCTTTCGGTAGTAGCCGTTACCATTTGAAAAGAATATAGAATCTTTTATTTGACACGTATAAATTGGACGGTGAAGATTCACGACGCAAATTGCGCGGGGAAATATCTAACCGACCTAATTGGCGTTTTTATGTGTTTTGAAGAATCGATCTCATCGGCGGTACCTCTTTCAAGGTTTTGTTTGAGACGACTAGTGGTGTTTATTATATGGACCAAATTATTAATAATACATTTTTAATATATATAATATATAGAATACATGTGCATGTATGTATATATTCATTTAACATTTAACATTCTTGTGGTTTGTTTTAGGGAAAATTTCACTTTAATGTCCTTTAATTTAATTTTGGGTAGTGACAAGTTAACATCCAAACTTTCAAATGTGTTACTGCAATACCTAAAACTTTATTCATTGTCTTCTACTTGGCGTTGGCATATTCTTTCTCTGTTTTCATAAACAGAGAGTAAGAAATCATCTTTAATTTGTTGCTCAACGATTAAAGAAAGCAAGACAGTGAAATCGCAGACAGCTTTACAGATCATATTTTTGTTTCTAGTCGTTCCTCTAGGTGAGGATCTTTACTTCTTGACAACCTCCGGCAACTTCTTTCTCTTTACATCGAATAACCGCCACAAAGTGATCGTCGTAAATCTAACTAACCTTAAATTTCCCAAATTTTAAATCAGTTCTCGGCTCTCTCTCTCTCTCCTCTCTCTGTCTCTACTTTCACTTCATCGCCGTTGCCGGAGAAGACGAAGTTGTTGTCGCTAGGAAGTGATCGTCATTGTCTCTGTACCCTTGAAGCACCGCTGCCCAAACCCAAAAAAGCCACCAGCTTGGGCTTCTTTTCCATGACCAGACCCCCAAATCCATCACTACGTAAGAAATTAGACAAAATTGAAGAGTACACATTAGAATCCAAATGATAAAACCCTCTAGAATGTAAGGGAAAACAATCCAACTTGCATAAAACATCGAAAAAACTTATGGGTTCTTGAGCAACACTAGGGATTGTTTTGTATTGCAGGTCCTATCAGAACTCAACCCATCAATCCATGGGAAGCCTTGTCGTGAAGAAAATTGAATATGGATTTACTTCAGAAGAAAACAAAATAAAAGTAATGCAATAGAAAACGGCAAAGGGGAAGAGCAAACAAAGATAAAATGATGTGACTTTATCAAGAGAAAGACACTTGGAGAATGAGTTAAGGGGTAGTTGAAACTCATAAGGGAAGGGGAAGGAGACGTATTGGGAAATCCTCATGCATATCTTATCTTCATCCATCTATCTTTAGCTAGTTGTAGTTCCCTAGGCTCTTTGGCTAGTGGTAGTTTCTTGCATAACGGATATATAGAATTCTCCACAAAGATTTTTTCATGGTATTAGAGCCTGGTGTGTTCGAAGAAACCCACCAAGTAGGCCTCGGCGGCTTCTCTGCTCTGGAAACGCAGATCTGTTTTGAAGTTTTGAGTGATCTCACGGATGAGACGTTGAAAGGGTGACTTTCGGATCAAGAGCTCCGTGCTCTTCTAGTACTTCCTGATCTCACAAAGAGCAACGGTTCCAGGCCTGAACCTGTGAGGCTTATTCACTCCTCCGGTCGCCGGTGCCGATTTCCAAGCCGCCTTAGTTGCCAACCACTTTCGTGGAACCTTCTATCCTATTGATTTCCTTGCAGTCTGCTTGTTGTCTGCTATCTGGTATGCGACTCTGCGGTGGTTTTATGCAAAAACAGAGCACGGACCAGCAGAACCAGCGGCGAAGCTACTGTTCCTCTTCTCTCCCTGCTCGAACGGAACCAGCGGCAGACCCATCACCAGCATCCCTCCCGGAACCTTATACGGCCTCTTCAGTGTTGGATACTTCCGTCTCAGCAAGATAAAGGATGCTATCTCCAGTAGCATCCCCAAACTGTACAGGAAATTCGCCGACGCTATTATATTGGTGAAGTCCATAAACGATACTCCAAGCGTGATCGCGTTGGAGACCAAGATACTGACCCAGGGCGTATTGAACCAGGTTGATCGGGCTGCGCAGAATCAGGGCAAGAAACCGAGGTCGCCCATTCCCAGAAACTGGAAAGAGGAGCTGCTCAATTGGGCTTTGAAGAGTCCTATCGCAGATAGGACAACGCCAATTTTGACCCAGAACTTCAACCACTTTTCGGTGAATAGTGAGGAAGCCAGCCGAGAAGAGGGCCTTCGGGAACGTCTGTTGGGGTCAATCGACTTCTCCGGCTAAGGTGCTTGCGTTATCCCAGAAATTCAAGTTCTAGAACAACGTGTTGAAGAACAAATTCCAGTCTTTATTTTTTAACCCTCCAGAGTCCAGACTGAGCCATCGGCGGGGACGGATTCTAGGCAACAAGATCACGACCATTAGGAGGAAGGGCGCGAGTGATCGAGAAACGCAGAGTTCTTCATCTGTCATAGTCAGGCAGGCACTCTGCACTCAGGCAGAAACGCAGAGTTCTTCAGTTATTCCCTTTTCTTTTCTGAAGGATCGGAACAGTGCGCAACAACATCAGTAGCCGAAGCTCCACGTTCGTTCCTACCAATCGACGATTCAGAGGATAATCAAAGACTGATGTGTTTCTTACTATTTCTTGCTGATCGGTATCATGGCTGCCAATAACGACCGGAATGGTTATAGCTCAAGTAAGTCGGAATGGTGGGGAGACAGACCCCGCGGTACGTCGTCCGGGAAGGGAGCAGGTCCTGGGCGAGGTGTTTCGAGCATGGGTGTCGGCGGACGTGGACGAGGGAACAAAGCAAGAGCAAACGCTGCCCAAGCTGTGGCGAGTGAAGGACAGAAGGCTGGAACCACGAATGATCATGATCGTAGCAGATTCCCTGGGCTGAGTGGAGAACAATGGACAACACTTCGTAATATTCTGAACTCTCACAAATCTGGTGGAATGAAAAGACTTTCTAGTCAGAAAAATTCTACTGATTGGATAATTGATTCCGGGGCGTCGCACCATATGACTGGAGAAATTGATTTATTGTTGGATGTACGGAATATTACACCGTGTCCGGTGGAACTTCCCAATGGGAAGCAAACCACTGTAATGAAGGAAGGGACTTTACATTTGGGTGGAAATATTTATTTACATCATGTGCTTTTTGTACCAAGAATGAACTGCACCCTTATTTCCATAGCAAAATTATTGCAAGAGATAAATTGTACTGTCA